GATTTTATATATGGGCAGGACTTGAATAATCAATGGCGAAGTAGTGATTGCAGCTAAATTTTGACTCATTTTAATTATTTCGATTATGAGCTTCCGAATATTACATATTCATCGTCATATATAGTGGAAAACATAGAGGAACAAGAAGAGAAAACGCACAATTCAACGGATAGTATTTGAAAAGAGTAAAATTACCATGCATATATATGTACATGTATTAGAGAGAGAGAGAGAGAGAATAGAGCAGAAACGACGATAATATTCTGTCTATTTTGACTAAATGAGACTGCCACTAAATGAATATAAAATTTTCGAGTGTTCTTTCTTTTTTTACTATGTGTACTGATGTAACTTTCGGGAAAGAGATATGGAGTGGTACGAAACGCTCTGTTCTATTAAATCTCGGTGTCTTTGGATCTAATGACTAATGACTCTTCCACTAATAGGCGATACGGTTTATTATCGGATTCAATAATAAAGATGTTCTTCCTCACGATCGGCTGATTATTGAGTTAAAACCGTTTTTTACAAATTCCCTGTTCGAATACGACTGCTCCGTTTCAAAGTCAGTTGTGGATTGTTGAGATACTGTTTGACCTGTTGACTTCCTTTTACTAGATAGACTACCCGTCAGGTCTATCACTGCTTTGTCAACATCTTTCTCATGTTCGGTAGTACAACGAATAGTTTGTTTAACAGATTTTTTCGATGTATTCTTCCTCTCAAGTTTTACCATTAAATTTTCTACATAACATCTAAGGATTGATGATTATGTAAACGGTCTTTTACCGGAAAAAAATCAGTATCAGGTGTTTTCTAAGTTACTCGCAATTTCGAAAATTAATCATTATTTTGAACGATGACTTTTAGTTGCCAGGCGCGCTTATTACTCGGTTTTTCTACACAAGATAATTCAATATAACGAAGTTTAATATTTTTATCTGATGTTGGATCCAGACCTTGTATGGTAGAGAAATTGTCACTTCGTTTATAATATTTATTTAACTGATTAGCAATGATAGAGTTTTATAAATGGTATTGGATCGGGCTAATCGATTCAAATTCTTTATGCATTAGTTCATTAGTGATAGTTCTATTCACTAGTTCTGAGACAGTCATTATTTTATACGATTTAGGTACACGACTTTGCCATTTTATCATAAGATTTGTAGCCTTCTTTTTTTTCCTACATATACTCGTAATGAAAATACCATTATCACGCTCAATGAGCACATTAAGAAATGGAATTTGTCGATTTTACTCTTGTTCAAATGTGAACTTGACTGATTGATGAAATGCACTGATCTTATTTAAAATAATCTTTTCATCAATATCATTTTCGACGAGTGTAAAGGTGTTGTCGACATCTCTTCTCCACGCTAATAATTTATCACCATTCGTTTTGGGGATATCTAATATAAGGACGTCCTTATATTCAGCCTCGGAGTTTGTCATGAATATTTCAGTAAATATTGCTGCGAGAGGGGATCCCATCGACACTCCGTCGATTTGTTCATAGTAATAATAAAACGAAAGAGGGTTTCCATAAGTGGCATAGTTAAGAAATTTTCTAAAATAGATTTCTGGTATAATTGGTCTCATTTTTTGATCAATGCAGTATAACTTGTTACAAATTATATCAATAGGTTCTTCAGTAGGAACGTTCGTGAATAGATTTTCAATACCGAAGCTAATCATTTTATGTTTTGCCTGATGAAGATTTGATCTAAGAAAGATTAATAACTCATAGGTATTTTTCAGTGAGTATTTACTTCTACTCCGTGTATCAACAATAGTAGCTAAATACTTAGCTAATTCATAGTTATATGACCATATACAAGAGATTATAGATCGTATTGGCATCACGACTTTATGAGTTTTCAGAAGGCCATATAACCTAGTTGGTATCGAGCCAACTGATCTAATTCTGTTGTACTATGGTTCGATGATATAACCGAATCATATAAATATATTTGTCAATGAATTTTCTCTAGTTATAGTCGGATCTCTGTCCAATCATTTAAACTTCGTATGAAATAGTGTTGACTTTATCGACGTAGTCTGATTTATTGAGAATAACAACATCACGTCCTTTATCAGATCTAGCAATATAGATACTTTCATCATTGGGTAAAGTGCCTAATATGTTGTTGTCCTCTCGAAACTCATTCTTCTGAAACATTGCTGTACGATAAAAGAATTTTTTCGTAGCGCTTCTCAGATGCTACGGCTAATTGTGGGTTTTAAAGTACACAATCTCCTTGCTGAAGATCCAGCTTCAGAATCAACATCCTGTTATGTAAAATCTATTAGTTCATTACGCATTACGTATTCCAAACGCATAATGAAACAACCACTCACTGTCAGAAATAGTCTCGTTCCAGTTCACTTTTGGCTCACGTATGTAGTTCAAACCTTTACTCAGCACATTCGGTTCAGCGGTAGTTAATTTTGGATGTGACAAGTTCGTTACAGTAGAAATATCAATAGCATTATTTTTACTTTGAATGGAACCAAGTCACGATTTGACTTTCTTCACATGTCTTTCTTTCTTCGCGTTACTTTCATAATCTCGGATTTCGGTCATAATTTCAGTGATTTTTGAAAAAATATTGACAGTGCAGCAAAACTAAACAAATTTTCCGTTCACTGCTTTAATCGAGTATTATGCTTGAAATCCTCAATTTTATTTGAAATCTCTTCATCTGATAATATCAATTGACATTTTTTTGTATTGTTTTGTCTTAAGAAATCTTGAAATAGATGTTTTAAAGTGAAGAAAGTTAGGAATAATCTATGAGTTTTGCGTCTGGTCAGAATAGTAAATTATTTAATAAACGCGCATATTTCATAATTTATTTTTCGTAATTTTGATAAATTTTATAAGTTGCCAGATCGAAATACTGCTTGATCATTTTTTCGCATTCTTCTGACATTCCACCATCATTGTATATGATTTTTATGACTTTTAGATAAATAATGGATTCGCTAACGGCGGTATGACAAAATTAAGTTCTGTCCATGCTGCTATACTCGCAAATATTTGCAACGCAATTTTCCGCATTCGTACAATTCGAAGTTAATAGTAGTGTAGATATATGCAATATAATACGGCAAAGAATAGAACTCTTTTCATTAGAACCGTATAGAGGTGTAAGCCATGGGCTGACGTTGATTGGCAGCACCCAAAGTAAAATTCTAAGCAATCGTTGCCAAAGACGACGAAAATTTAGGGATCCCGCCAACCGGAGTATTTTCCCGACAGGGCTTATAGTAAATGCAAAATGAACAGCACCGCGCTCTAAAAAACAGTATACCCCAAACCACTCTTTTCAGGAATTGAATTTCTGGTGAACACTTTTTAGAAAGGTCACTTTTAAAATAGGCAGCAGAGTAGAGCAGCCCCAAATCCCGTCCCATCCCGCGGGACAGACGGACTCGAGACATAAAATAACTTTACGGACTCGAGCGTACGGGATCGGGACAAGTCGAAGAAAATTGTTGTTCCGTAAGTTTTGTCCTTTTTGATTATAATTACGCTGCAACTTCAAATGTTTAATTCTTGTAATACTATCAAATTAAAATCGTAATTTTATAATAACTAATAAAAATTAGAGGCGAAATAGTCTGGATTTAAACTTGAGAAGATGTTTCATATCTAAAACTCGGTTTACAGTTCTTTTCTTTCGATTTTGAAGTAGTGAGTGAATGTAAAACGTGGTTCTATATAGTAGCTTTTAAGTTTAGAATCAGATAAATTAGGCTTAAATTTTGTTATGCGGATTTTGCAAAAATAAGTATGAGACTTTAAGCGTCTCTTATAACAGTTACGGTTTATCTCAAAAGAAAAACCTTTTCAAAAAACTACAGGACAAAAAAGTCCGTAAAATTTTTTTTACGAGACAGAGGGGCTCGAGACAACATTATTTGCTGAGGGACTCGGGCTTACTAGACGGATCAAAAATGTTTATGTTCGTGCTCGGAGCAACAGAAAAGTTTGTCCCGCAGGACTTTGCAGCATAGGAACACTTTTGAAAAGTGATTTACAATGAATCCGTTAGGTGATACCCTGGGGATTTTTCCAGAGAAAGTGGAATAGGTTAACATTTCTCTGCTCCTGCACAGTATCTCTATTCATATCAGTTTTCCTTTAGTTACTGCTGTTTTGTTTGTTTTTTAATGGCTATCAGCTGCGATTACACTAGAACTTTGAAATGAAACAATAATATTTTTTTACTTGTCTTTGTTTCGCGTCGGAAAAAGGAGACCAGCCAGCGAGAGCTCCTAGCTTTTAGCCAAACCCCAGTCGTTTTTCGATCGGCTTACACCTCTAGAGCCGTATCAAATAAAGAATATTTAGATATATCTCGATTTCTTTCCTACCTTGCATATGCGTACATCTTTTCTATTTAAACGTGAAGAAAAAACAAAAGGCAAGAGAAACGCACGCATGTGTGAGATGGGAAAGAAATCGAGATATATCTTAGATTTTAGGAATGTAGCAAATAAGGAGATATTCCTTCCCGCATAAGATATCCCATGTGTGAACATTTTTTCTTCTCGAAAAGAAAAAAGAACAGAAGATATATATGTGCGAAAAGAGATAGATTATCCTCTTCTCTGCTAGCTCTCGATTCCTTCATTTGATACGGCTCTATCGTTTAGACTACGTTGATAGAAAGGAAAGAGAAGGAATATAAAGAAAGATACGTGCGACATTTAGCATGCGGAGAATACGCAATTTTAGTTTATCACGTGCCATATATATAAATAGCATGTGAAAGAAGGCTTCTCTTTCTCGCTTCTTCTTTCTTTACTAGAACGGTATAGTAGTTTTCTCTCCATCTTTTTAGTAGATATATAAGTATGCAAACATATATAGACAGACGCACATCGCACACAAACGTATCTCTCCTTTTCTTCGTCCAGTTTAGTGAGTAAGTATATTTTTAATCAAAACAAAAGTTATATCGTTGAATACAAATCTTCAACAACAACAAATGGATCCTCAAGCTCAGACTTTAGACAATAAAATTGCGTCGGAACAAACAAAAGCTGGTCATACAGGTGTCTGTAATACGTACGGTATGGACAGTGAACATCATGAACCCAGTCCGGGTAAACATATCGATAAACACGTATGTGAGAATCCAAATTGCACTGGAGATCATTCAGGAATAAAACACGAAGTTAAACATATGGAATAATGTACAACAACGGTTTAACGCGCCGTATCTGTTCACAGTACTTCTGGTATACGTTTCACTACTGTATATTTTTTGTCCGAAAGATTCATGTAATTATGTATAATAAAATTGATTTAATGTTTATGACTAAGTAATTCAAAATGCTACTGCTTTTTGAAAAGGCAACTTATTGGTATTACTTTGCTAAAAATCGATACGACATTGGCACTAGGCGCGATTTCGTGTGTTATTGTTGCGCATTTCTGCATTGTTCATGCTAATCAGCCATGTGGAGATTTAGATTCCCTCCACCATGTGAACACGGTTTGAAAATTTTTTTCACGTGATTACACGGCAATATAGTCTTGTTTTTGAGAATTCTACATTGGAACATGCGTGGAAGATAATCTTATGTACGCGAACAGTCATGGACAAGAAAAGATTCTATGGGTTCACACGTAAAACAGTTCGTTGACTTGTGAATGAGCGTGGGAAATAACTTTTCATACGAAAGCACGCGTGAGGTATGATCCTTTAACGTGATCACAAGTGTAATAGCATTTTTACAGTGTTAATGGCACAAATCACTACTTTTTTAAATGTTAACTCATGAACACGAATGAAACGCATTCTTTCACGTGCGAAAATGAAGCAAATTCATGTCGTCACTCTTAGCTACTCGTGAAAATCAGTTATTATTTGTATCCACACTAGAAAGGATCAGTGATTGATCGTTGACGCGCGTGCAGCATTTAATTGAAGCGTGAACGCGCATTCTCTTAGTTATTTACATCGTCACCACACATGACTCAAAACGTTCTGCTTGTGTTCCCTGGTTAAAGTTTTAAGTAAAGCCCCTTTGTAGCGTTACTATGCATGGAAACAATTCTCTACTAGCGAACACAACGCAAATAGATTCAATGCTTGCGTGTTCACTCCCATGAAAAATCTTTCATAGCATGTCAACAATCAAACTCTACCTTTTAGTAGTGAGATAGTAGATACAGTTCATGCAACATCACTACAACTAGATGTACATTGAAAAAATGATGACGAATAACAACAGTCGCAACTGTTGGTGATGATACCTGAGTGTACAGCTTATGGGTGGAGAAACCTTAATTTCTCATCTTTGATATCAAAAGTCTTTGTTTTATTCCTATCTTTAGAACAGCAATGGTGAGATTTTTGAAATTATTATTGAGAATAATAGAAGGGAACGAAAGAGACAACTTATTTTTAACACTATGTATATTCAAATAAAGTAGGATACTGCAGACGTACAACATACAACAATATTAAATGAAATGTTTCATTTAATATTGAATCGTGGTACGACCTAATTTTTTCAACGCGTTTTCGCTTCGAATGTATGCTGCTTTATCATTTTTCATACGTCCTCGATAGATAAAGGGACAATCAACCCCATATGTGATACATTCGCTAATTCATTTCGAAATATACTATTTCGCTGGAGACGAGCAAAATACGTTGAATTATGCCGACTGCTGTTTTATCATTCTGGAGTTGGACAAGGCCTGTTGAGTTATCGATGTTTCGTTCAAAATCTTCTTTGAACACTGACAATCTCATTCGGATAGCGTTCGCTGTTTGAAAATATTGAATATCGATATGATCATCGGATTTAAACGCTTTTTTCATTTCTTCTGTCACATATACATTAGCATTTTTGAAAACTGTTTTGATATAGATTGATTCTTCGTCGTTCAACTCATCATGTGCTGTTGAATTGGAGAACATCGACATCAATAACTCTTGTAATTCTTCTTCACAAAAGCAAGCTGGTGTAAAAGAGTTTGAGCTAGTTGCAAATTATTAAGTGTGTTGAATATTTTTTCGCCGTATTGTTTCGTATCGAGAACAGTAGACATTATCATGTCTAGAAACATGCGAAGAGTGAATGTGAAGGTAACACATGAGATGGATATATCCTGTTCAATAAGGCTTCAGAATAGCTAGTGAACACGCGTGAAGTTGTATGGTCACTTATTTGGTTCACGTGGACAATAACTTTTTTTAATGTGTGCACGCGTGGTAAATCTGGTTAGTACACGTGAACAGTATTTCATGCATGTTCACTGAGGGTAGAAGGAGAATTAAAAAGGTATATGACGACAAAACTATTCAGACAAACTATAGTCGTTAGTCCAACAGAGAAACATTACAGCTTTCCTAAATGTACTAAACGTACTAATAAAGAGAATAAAATATATAATTTACTACTGGGGCCTCCACATTCGAAACATTCGATCGTAACATACTTTTTTACTGTACGGGCACACAACTGTTTTGTATATTTTTAATGCTTTGTATATTATCGATGGATAGACAAAGAATGATCGATCATTCATCATTCTCCGAGCAAGCGATAGATTTCATGCAGTCCATCGCTTGAAAGCATGAATGGAAAAAAAAATGGTGCAACTGCGTAAAGCGAAATTTGCACAAATATAAATGGTTACAACCGGAAAATATTTCTATCGGTCGTTGGTACGAATGAAAAAAATGCTCCATAAACGTTCACACATTCTACCTTTACAATGTAAAAAATAAAGTGTGCCCATAGATGTGTAAAAGTTCTAAATGCGTAAATAGAAATCAAACTGGTGTGTTTTTTTCTAGGTATCTAAGACCTTCCAAAGGTCTTGGGAAAACATACCTTTGAATTTCGATCAGAAATTCATTTATTTCATTTAATTCGTTATTAAACGTATTATAACAAAAAAATTAAAAGTACGTATTTCATTACAAACCAGGATTATTTGAATATTCTGTCCAAAGTTGATCAACTCCTTGTCCGGCAAATGAATTCCATGAATTTCCACTGTATGTGTTGGATCTCAATGCTGTATCTAATTGTTTTACAATATTTCCATTTTTCTTACGTTCTAACCAAACCAAAAATCTAGCTGTAACACGGTACGCATTTGTGTAATGTTGGCCACGTTGAAAATCGGGTAATGACCAACCAGCTCTGCCATTATTAACACCCCATTTCCATCGACAGTAATCAGCAATACCTTCGATTAACCATCCTGGATCACCACGATTATAACTTTGCACAATGTGCATACCTTCGTGTGTGACAACATCATAATCTTCGGGATTATTTCTTAACCATGCAGCGCTAATAACAATTTGTCCACCACCAGCATATGCTACCCCATTATAACTTGGATCAATCGTGATTTTAATGTCCTTTCGATTTTGACCAAAATGAGTATTCATCTTAGGAACAACATTGAAGAAAGTGTTAATGACGTTTTGACGCGTTGTACCAGAAAATCCATTGTCATTATTTACAAGTGTCAACTTATGATCACCAGATGTATAGACAACAGTATCAGCCAAACAGAATGTGAATAAATAAGTTGCTAGTAAATAAACGTGATAATATGGAAACTTCATCATTGCTCCTATAACGAAATTATACACCTGAGTTTTAACAGGTATAAAAAACCTCAAAACAAACTTCAACAAACACCTGTATATACTATGAGGCGGTAGTTTTTAAATAGAAAACTAATTAAACGAATTACCTTAAGGACTAATGATCGTAAAAAGTTTGAATAAAAAAGATGAAATTTTACTTCGTTTATATACCTTTAGCATTAGCAGGCTGTGAATATATTAGCGAATAATGCGTAAATCTTCTAATAATTGAAATTGATATTGTATTTCTCGAGAGTGATACAGTCCCCTATATTGACTTTCATTGATTTCTTAGTTTTAGATAATTACGTACAATTGCATTCAAACAATGATTTGTACTTAAAGACAAAGTCAAATTTTCTATCCAGGACCTTTCAACGTGAATCGTATTACAACTGCCTGGTTTTCTCTTTGTATCCAAACATTGGTGAATCAGTGAGTTGTTGAAAATCATTACAGTAAAAACAAGTATTAGCCAGGACTGCTTACGTTTCTTTTTCCACGTTAACATATGCGGTTATAAATATTTGCTGGAATATTGGTCTACTTCCATCATGCGATTGACTGATGCGCAGTGCAGATGTACTACTGCGCGCTTGGATGCTAAGTCAAGCACATCAATACACCAAAGAAGATCAAAAATGGTGAGATAAACGCAATGGTAAGTGAATGAATGCGCATAATCATCACAGGCAAGACATTGAACGCAGAGCAGACAATTTTCTAACATTATTGCACGAGAAGCGGTAGTTATATCACTATTCTATATTCATTATAACAATTATGCTCTTTTCTGCACACAAATCAGCTTGGAAACCAATTTGAAAAGAAAGACAGTTCTAAAAAGTTTCTGATAAGATTCTTACAAGATTCGTATATAAGATGTTGCACGGAAGTGATAAGAAATTTACTGGTTCTGATACGAATCTTATAAGAAACTTATAAGATATTCATAAGGTAGTAACAAGCCGTCTT